TGAACGGATTATCCAAGGCTGGTCATTAACTAACAATGCAACAAGATTATTATTATTAATTAAAGTAATTATTAATTAATTAATTATTATTTAAGGTAATAATCTTATTGTATTGTATGTTAATGACCACACTTGGATAATCAGTTCAAAAACAATTGGTCACTTTCTTATATCTATGAACAGACCATACTTGGTAGATGCACTTTTTCTCTTCATTTCTCGTTCAGACGCTTCAAAGAGTAACTCTAGATTTAAAAAGCACTTTTCAGATTGTACTATTTCTCGCTATTATAGTTTTTTCAGTTTGATAGTGTGACATATTCTTGTCGAGCAACTTCTCTGTTGAACTATTCTGAAGCACACTTAGCGAGCACAAACGAATAAGATAATGCAAAAAATGTATGCATGTCAATTTTTTTAGATCACTTTTTCTAAATAAAGCAGAAATAATTGGGCAACTCTTTTACTTTTAATCCAGAATTTAGTAAACATCCATGGAAACGGTAAAATGTATTTCAGATACTTTTGAGATTTTCTTAACGCAGTACAATTAAAACGGCATTCCTCTGGAACCCAGTTATTTTTAATCATCTCGTTAAAGAAAGTTTCTCGTACTTACGCTCCGCTGAGCTTTGAGAACGGCCGAAATCAAAAGGCGCATTTTATGCTTTTCTGAGCTTATAATGCGATTCTAAAGTTCGATAATTTATTTGACATGTCATTTCAACAAAACGACCAGATGTATAATTGTCCTATTAGCAGGTTGGCTAATAACTCAAATTATTGCCGTGAGGGACTTCATGACAATTCTAGTGTAAATTCTTGCTTTATATTTATTGTTCTATTACTTCACACCGCCGGAGGAATACGTAGTTGCCTTGAAGACCGTAGGTACCTTTTTGCAAATTTATCGAGTAAGCAATGAAAATGTGAAATGAAAATCATAAACTTGTCAATATTGTTGAACACTACCAGTTTTAACAACTGCTCTTTTCTATTGCAGATAATTAAATACAATGTGCCAGTGTTGACAATGCATTTTAGTTGTATTTTTGTACATTTGCCTCCTTTTCTTTTTATAGAACAAATAAAATTGGTTATTCAAACTTCATAATTTTATTAACATGCGATAAGTTTCTACCGTTCATTCAAGAAACGATACTGAGTAACAGAGTCAACCAAATGCAGCCAATTCAATTTCCATAGTTGGTACTCCGAGGTCCCCGAGAAATTCCATTTTTCATTTTATTCATTAACGTGCGATCCGAGGTTGGTTTGATGCAACCTATAAAAGCTTTGTAGGCAGAACGAAAACCAAAAAAACAACCAACCAAAAACAGCATGCAAACAGAACATAATTTTATTCTTTTTTATGTCAACTTAAAATTTCTACACAAATCTTAGTTTTTTATCACTAGCATTTTAAGGTTTCGCGGTATTTAAGTGAATTGATCGAATCTCAAAATCTTATTGAATAGTAAACGCAAACACTATTAAATAATATTTCACTTAACGTTTGCTTATTTGTTATTTTAAATATTATGCTAGATAACAAACCCTGCTTGGGGAAGTAAAAGTTTCAATTACACTGAAAACTTCCATAACCGGACAATCACGGTTCCTCTTGTTTTGTCCGCTCATTAGAGGTGTATGAAAAAAAAAACCAACATACATCGTAAATATGTATTACGCTTATTTAAAAATATACAAAAAACTATAGAAAAAAATGTAGGTGAATGAACTTTAATTATTTATTTACAAACTCTGACGCATATTTATTGTTTTATGCTTTAACAAACTTGACTGAAAATTATCTTCTAAATTTTTTCAACGCAATGTAGTCCTCTTCAGCAAAAACCTTTAGCTCGGTGATTATTTTTAAGGCTATTAATTGTGCTAGGTTCCCCACCATCATATTCTTGATCCCTGTCTTCTTCCGGTTCAGCTTCTATCATGTTTTCAATTGCATCTTCACTGTTCAAACTAGTCCCCTCAGTAATACTGTTGATTCCAACATAGTTTCCAAGAGTTTCTTGCGTTATGTTCATTTCTCTAAGATATGGTTCCATTTCTAGGTATCGTTAGATAGTGGAATAATATCTTATGGATCCCATTCCATTGATTTCGAAAAATCATTATTATTTTGAAAAACAGCTTTGTTCAAACAATTTTGTATGGTTTCTGACGAAGCTTTAATAATAAAATATGCTTGAGTATAAGTCCACGATAACAGAATTTAACATTCGGTTTGATACCCTGATCTAGACGTTGACATACTGATGTCGTATTTGGAGGCCAGCAGATAATTTTGATGTTTTGCAATTTTACCTCACGCTGCGTTATCCAAGAATAAATAATTTTTTCGCTTTTGTAGGTTCATTTTTCTAGCAAATTGTTGTTTGCTTTCTTGTTAAATTTCCATTTTGCCGGTAAATTTTTAATTGCTACATTTTCGGGCAGGTCGGCAGTCTTTCCAATCACGAGCAAATCTTCTTTTCGTCCTGATATATTAGCACAAAACAAAATTGTAAGCCTCTCCTTGTTAGGTAAGACACGAAAAAAAAGGTCAGTCTCATCGGCATTGTAAACATCGTGTGACTGATATCCGAGGAGTAGTGTGGGCAACTTTTCTTTAAACTGATTTACATCTTCTTGACTCACATCTGCTGATTTTCCGGAGATACTTTTAAAACTGATCGCATTTCACTTGCGCCACTTTTCCAGCCATCGATTGGAAGCTTTAAAATTTCGAACATTAACTTTGGCCTTTACTAAATGCCGATAGAATGTTTTGATCTCGCAACCGAGAAAACCGATCAAACCACACTTTGTCAATTTTAAGTCCTTTTTTGATCAATATTGCTTCCCGACTCCCACTGTAGACGAATGCTGTCCTTATTTTTTACAATTTCCGCGGCTTGAGTTTTCCGAAACGTTGTCTTCATTTTTTCTAGCAAAGTAAGAAGTTTTCTAGTAGGTGCAAGTCACAGCGTAATGAATAATACCATATGATATCAAAAATGAAAAAGGTAATTCCCCTTTAGGATTAGGGAAAAGGTAAGTCCCCGATATCTTAGCATTGCGTTGACCTGTTATTGGAGGTTCACGTCCGTTTAAGAGAGGTATTTTTTTTAAGACAGGACAGTGTTGTCCGCGTCCGTTGAATGGAATGTCCGGTTAAAGGAGTTTGTTTCACAGGTAAAAATGTAGCAAATATTTCCTTCCAAAAAACATATCCGTTGAAAGAGGCGTGTCAGCCTAATAGAGGCGTAAGTATTGAGAGGTTTCACTGTATTTTGAAGCATACAGAAATAATTTTTAGTCTTTCTGTTGTTGTGCTGGTGTAGGATGATACTACAAAGTTACTTCTCTATTCCAACTCTAAAATATCTGACTTATTATCTATATAGTTACTGTATAATGACGACAATGAAAAAATATGAATTCCACGTACCAGATAAATAATAACCAATTAAATTTTTATACCACAGCCCGTCTGTTATTAACGGGAAATTGTTTCGTACCAGTCTATAAAGTCTGAAGATAAAAAATATTATTTCCTATGTCTATACAAGTCAAAACAAAAGAATATTTTGGCCGTGATAACCAAGTTTTATATAAAATATTCTCGGCAGTAACCGTATATAATAGAAAGGCGTCGTTTATCAGGGGTCCTCTCATATTTACGACCGCCATAAACTCTTTTTTAAGTTGCGTGTATCGTCGCTGATTGGTAGCGAACAATAGTTTTATTATAAAAGGCGATATCAGAAAAACTTGCGAATGGTTTATTACGCGTAAATATATAGAGCAAACTTCGAGCTCGAATTATTTATTGCCGACTATGGCCAAATTTTACTGCCGAAATACACGCCCGCCTCCAACGTGTTTCCTTTCTAATGAAACGTAATGGCGGAGGCGAAATAGGTTGATACAATTATATGCTTAGCATGATACGTTTTCACAAATCAGAAAACGATAGCTGAAATATAAACTGAGCCCGGGCACGAAAAATGCAGAAATATAAGAGTGCATTTATTTTTGAGCTTCCACGAGAGTAGAGCTGCAACAAGAGCAGCCACTTGAGCGTGCCTGACCCACGCGTCCGTGGATCAGACCACTAGGTATACAGGGTTTCTCGAAAAAGTGGAAAAGCAAAAGATGTTTTGTATGAAAATATTGGGACCTCCATTATACCATTTTGCTTTTTCAAATCTATATACATCTAATATATAATTGTCATGTAAGTAATAGACACTTCGAGTAAATGTTGAAAGTAAAAACGGCAAAATAGCAGAAAATGTTTTCTCTCGTGTCTATTTTTGATGTCATTTGTAGATTTTTTTTAATTATCAGCAATACATGTAAAAAATATATTTCACGTGTTTGCCTCAATTTCCTTTGCGATTACCTCTTCTTTTTTAGAGGGTCGATTTTTATTGATAATATTCCAATAGATCTTAGCTGTATTTTCTTCGTCTTCAATTATTTTCTTATTGAGACTGCATTGACTACAGTGGTTGTAGCTTTTAATATTTCTTGTAAGATGTGCGTTGGGGTAGTCATAGTTAACAAGTCCCGTGTATGAGCTGGCCATAGAATAGGTGTATTGTGTCCCCGGCCAACCCACAGAATGGAGACGATTTCGTTTCAATAGAGGCATATATTTTTTCCAAAATAAAGTGTAGCAAAATATGTAACGGCACATCAGCAAATACATAGTGGTATTTGCTAATTGTCGTTTTTTAACTTTTAATTATTAATTAATGTATAAAAGCTCACAAATCCCAATTGTCATAAACAATACACAATTTACATAACCTTTACGTACAAGTAACGAGAATCTCGAAGTCTATGCAACGATTATTATTTCATTGTATATTTTATTAAATTGTTTACTAAAACTAAACAACAAAATTCTTCTTCTGATGCGAATTGAGGACTTAAAAAGCACAGTGAAAGAAAATGTATGTTCAAATTGATTCAACATGACGACTTACCCTATTCAGTTGCTTTGTCAGCTTATTGATAGTTTGTTTGTCCCGTAATTCACTCTTCTGTGCCGCCTCCAGCGCCATCTCCAGTTCCACGATGCGAGTTTCAAGAAACGACTGAATCAAAGAAGAAAATCCGAATTAAATAGCGAAAAGTTTAAAATTATTTTTTTTTAGGTAATATTTGTTTAGGTTTAAAAAAATTGAATAATGTCATGATTTAAGAAAGGAATATTCGTTATTTAATATTTATTTATATATGCCTAGGCATCGTTTTCATCGCCGTCAATATTTCTTTTTTTAATCTAATGATAATTTTTCCAAGAATCAGAGAAGAAATAAGCTTTATATGGTTCTTCTTTAATGTTCCCCGCTGCTACATTTTTTACGACATTAAAGAAGTAGTGGGTTCAGTAATGGCACATACTGGGCATACTTTAAAAGTGAAATGTTTTTCTGCGTTCAGGAGTGGGAAACACTTTGTTAAATATCCTGTAAACACCGTATACCACCCGTATTAAAGAATAACAAATAAACTTTGAAACGAACATGTTTTTCGAAAATATCAATTTTGTTGTGGTAGTTTTTATATATTTCATTTATTTATATTTATTAATTTATTTATATAACCGACTCCGAAAATCAAGCAATTACTATAAAGACATTGTCGTTAATATTTCGAGTTTGTGGAGCTACAAGCGGAATTTGCAATATATGATTTGAAAGGTAATTAAATAGACAATTCAGTACTAAAATTCAATCGAATCAGCGTATGAGATGTTTGACCCCAACAGAAGATGAAGATGAAAAAATCTGCCACATTTCCACAATTTACAAATATATAATCTGAAGGAAAAAAAATCAATTCAAATTCTCAATTGGTAACTCTCAAATGGTAAACGCTTCATAATATTATTTTGCAAACTTTTTGACGGACTCGTATTTGTCACCCATCAGAAGTATAAATAAGCCGCGATCAATATTTCTTACGAGAACAGATTATAAATCATTAGCTGACCAAACCAAAATCACCCACCGATCAGATCGAGCCGTCAAACCAGCCTTTATCGTCCAGGCACGAATAATGACCCATTCTTTACGGATACGTGTCGGGCTTCGAGTTTTTGATTGGTCGCAGCTCAACACAATATTCGCCAAGCTTATTTATTTAAATGGGATCATCGCTCACCACAAAGAACTCCCATTTAAAGAGGACAATAAATCGCAATCAGTTTTCGGAGATATTCGTATACACGGGCGCCATCAATAAACCCTAATTGAGATAACATCCCTTTGAGGGATCCCTTGACCGTTTAATAAATCAGAAGTTTTCAATCGCAGAAAGCCGTGGCCGACCGGCGATATAAGGAAACTAATGTTAAATGGAAACTAAATTCTTTCTGTCTCGGACAGATGTAATCAGATTAAACAGTGCGCGGATCTCGGTAGGATGAAATGAGAAAAAAAACAACGGACCGAGAAAAAAGCAACGACTCGTTCTTTATCGGTTTGCGACTGGCGGACGCTGGTGCCCCTTTTTAAAAAGTGTTTGTGCGGGGTGTTCCGTAAGGAATTCGCCAAAAAGCAATAATAGATTAAAGTTAAACATTAAAAATTAAAAATTTTATTTACGCATTTACCATTTACATTATCATTACAATATATTTTAACCTAAGAAAAATAGTAACACAAACACTTACAAACAACACTTACAGTTGCTAAACTACCAAGTTTTGATTAAAAACAATCTTCTTTACTTTGCAATTAAAACTACTGAGAGAGTCAGAAAATAAATCAATATGCTCGTTATTCGTGAGTAAAATATTTGTCAGCTTGCACATTCGATTAGAGTTAATTAATTAATTGTACATTTCAAATTAAAGGAAGTTTGGTGCTTATGGCGCATTCATTACAAACCGCTCTGTAAACAGGGTTCCTCAGGATAAGGTATTGATCCTTAAGGATGTAGTGCATAGGTTATTTAAGAACAATAAACAGTTTGTGTCCTACCGAGTGTCCCGAAACTGTCCTATTCTTTGTTCTATTATTAAAAACAAAAAGCGATATTGGAGTGCAATAGTTTTTCCAAATACGTGTATTCCATATCACCATATTGGGCGGTATTATTATGTTAATTTAATCAAAGATTTTATATTTTTATTCTTGTTGATGCTATTGTCCTTGAACTGTAGGTCAATAAACAAAGATTTAAAAGTTTTTTGTAACTTACCTGGCATTATTTAATTACTAGAAGCAAGAAGATTGCAATAATAATTGCGTTTGCAATTAGTGGCAATTGTAATCTAGTTGATATTTAGTGGTAACTCTTGCGGTAATTAGGGTTGATTTCTGATGTGGTAACGTAAACGTAATCCATTTTGTGCCAGTGGTAACCGTCCTGCTTCTAAAGCTGAACTGTCAAACTAGTCTTAGTATATTAAAATAATTCCGATTCCCCTTGGTAATATACAACATCTCCACTTTACGGCCCCCCCTTTTATTAAATCTCCATTGCAGCCGGTTTGAAGAGAGCAGCTAGCAGCGCGGCGCAATTGAAACCTTTTTATTGCCCAGAATGCAGGATGCCATTTTAATGTTTCACTTGTCAAGCAGATATAAAGTGAGGGGCTTGCTCCCGAATACTGCGGATTCCTGCTTAATAGCAGTTTTCGATTCAAGCCCGACCTAAACAGCGCCGAGATCAGAACAAATTTGCCTGGAAATATGCGCGGCGCGTCGCGAACCGTAGGGGAACCATTACAGCGCATTATTTTTGATAGGGATGACATTATAAGGGAACGCGAAAAATTTCATATGTGCCGAGTTTCTTTCGAGATGAAAAAAATCGAAATTACTGTTATTTCTGCATGAGAAAATTCTTGCCGAGACTTAATACGCGATAGTTATTTTGCGGTCGGTAATCGGACCTCGCTCAACAACTGTGAAGAGAATGACCGGAGTTTGCGGTTACATGTTTACGTCTTAAACACCGCAGTTAAACGTGGCGTGTGGTATCGTTGACAGATATACGAAAGGACAAATGGAGAGTAGGAGGCAATAATAACAAGTAAGTATGATAAATTGATAAACTCCAGAATATTGCTGTGGATGAGGAAAATTGGTAATATCAAAGACATTAACTGCTCCATCAGTCTGCTCCTAAACTTCGAATAACTAGGGAACAAGTAAATCTATGGACGGGCGAGGGGTCATGCAAGTTTCAGCTTCCGTATTTTTGATTTTCTCTTGCTAAGAAGAGCCTGATGACAAAATCGCGAATCGAATGATCTTTTCCACATGTACCAAATTTTAGTCTATAACCTAAACTCAAATGTAACATCACTTTTTGATTGCCGCTGGAATTTTTTTAATAATCCTTCGGGATTTCACAAAGGAAAAACAGGACATATTATTCAAGACGAAGAGGTACCTACAGATCCTATAATTTTTTCACTACAGTGTAAGGGCTAGTTGACAGTTTAGTTAATACCTTATGAACACATGTAGTTGATATAATGAATTCGTAACGATATGAAGATACTTACCTCAACGACAGCCTTTCTACGCATCCTTTAAATCTCTATTTTTGCCTAAAGCTATATTTTTAAATCATAAAATAAGAAACGGTGCGACGCAATGATAATTTGGGCGTTCATCCTCTTTTGTGGAATACTTCTCTTCAACACTCTCATTCGATTATTGGGGGCGTTCTTTAACAAAATTTGCCTCATATAATAAATGATGTCAAAAGAAGCGTGGAAACAGCTAAGAAGATTCCAAATTAATTGCAATGTTGCAATTCTTGTACGAAAATTTCGCATTGCCTAATCAACAACAATATTTAGTTAAGAAATGTGAAATTTTTACGGTGATTCGAGAAATTTCTTGTGAAGTTTCAATAGAAACAATAGAAAATAAATATATTTTCGGGAATGACTAATTCCCAAACTTATCAGATACCTAAGGTAAATTCTAGTTAGTGCCAAAAGGTCAAAGGGGTTCTAAACTTCAATTGTTTTTATCTACTTCAATTTACAGTAGGCAGTTGTCTTATTAAGTTGTTGTTATTAAGTATAGGCATTTTTAATTTCAGTTCGGTTTTTAAGAAAATCCCTTTGCGAATATCAAAATATTTCAGTCAGTTTAAATTGGATTCAGCTAAACCAAGTCTAATATTGGTTAAACAGGACTTTCAAAAAACGCATTAACGAATCCAAAAACTAATCTTATTACACCATACATTAACACTTTTTATACAACAATTAACACCTACTTTTTAAGTTAAGGCGATGAATAAACTGAAACACTAAAATTTGTTGCTTTAAGTTTAATTATAATTAGATTGAATACAAGACCAATTACCACCATTAACGATTTAATGTCAATTTATGTATTTATAGAGATCTTAATAATGTAATTTTTTTATTATCATACTTTTTAACTGAACGATTTGTTCTCATCCACTTATCTTTTATATTATTGTATATTATACACTTCACAACATTTTTGCCATTTTTTTATATATTGCCTGGCTATGTTGTCAATTTTTGTTAAGGATATTTTGTTTTCATCTTAAAATCCGAACTAATCACTTACTTAATATATATACATTAAAACATAGCAATTTATTAGTAAGGCTTTGGCAACGTATTGAGGAAAGAAAATCTAACAACAAGGATGACTGAAAATTCAATATTGGCAAAGCAGAAAGTCGAAGTTATAGCTAGCTAAAATTAGAAAATTCTTGGGTGTTCCACTTTATCTGCCATTCAGTTCATAAATCCATCGAAATTTCAAATCATATGCTCATTTATTTAAAGAATGAGTTCCAACTTTTGCCGGTATATGATGTTGACAGGCAAAGATACTAAAATCAATAGAAACTCAAAAGTTTCAGCTATGTAATTTAAATCCAACAGTATATGAAGAAAATTTCTTTACGGAGATGGAAATACCTTAAATTGTGAAATCCTGCTAGCGGCACACACAGTAATTAACTGTGGGTACCTGGGAAGTTCAAAGCGACAATTTCTTTGCGACGTCCTCAGTCGAAACGCAATTATTTCCGCCGACGCTATCGCACACCGTACTTTCCTTTTTTCATGAAAAATTCCGTA